AGTTCCTCAAGGTGTTCAGACCAGAACACTCGATAGTGTTCAGTCTTGCCACGGGGAATGGTTTTCTTCGCATATCTGATCATAACATTCGTGATTTCGTTGCAAAGTTTGTCAGGATGTTGGTTGAATTTGAGGGGACTTGTGTGAAGTTCATTCTCTGAAAGGTTTGTGAATCTAGGCCAGTCAGCCTTCTTGAAGTTCCATGATAGCTTAGTTGATACTTTCCTTGACATCCTTTTGCTGCCGATGGTAATACTAGCAATGACTGGTTAGTGACCAGAACCAGGATCTTCAATTATTTTGCGGCGTGTATGCTCACTGGTGTCGCTTGAAGCCAGGAGCAAGTCAGGAGTTGTTCTGGTTCCATTGTAGTGCAAATATGTAGCCGGATCCTCATTCCTGTAAATAAGTTCCAGAGGGTTGCTGTTTGGCATGTCTTCAATTTCCTTTCCAGCTATGTTTGTATCCTTGTAGCCCCATCTGGTGGAATGGGCGTTGAAGTCTTCTAATACTACAGTTTTGTGTGAGATGTTCAGAAAGTTAAAGTTGGGACAATTCTGGAGTGGATTATAGACTGCATGTATCTTGAAGTGGTTTTGATATTTCCAAACATTTAAGCTGATTATTTTGCATATGTCTTGTGTCGAACACATACTGTTGATTAGATCGTGGTGTGAGGTGAGGCCTTCTTTAACTCCAGTTAAAATTCCACTTGCAACTTGCCGGTATATAGGTAGAAGGTACAGGGTGTAACCTGGGAATTGGTAGTACATCAGGTTGTCATCCGAAATGTTTGCTTCCATAATTGTGAAAATGTCTACATCATAGGTTTGTAGGATTTTCTGTACTAGGATCTTTTTTGTCCGGAGACATTCCTCCAGCATTCCACTGGTGGATCTGAAGACGTTGTGATTTGCCCTGACGAGGGCGATTTTTCTTGTAGCCTTTTTTAAAGCTAATCGTAATAAATCGAAGTCAAAAACGAATTTCGAGTGATAGACTTTTTGCCGTAAGAAAATACTTTGTCCAGGGTGCACCACGTGGAGGTAAGTCTATCGCGCACCCCGCCAGAGCATTATGTACTCAAATCTCTTCTAACTTAAAGTTCTGGTTGATATCGATAGTCGAACCTTGCAAGTACTTAGGTATCTCATTTTCAACAGACTGATTGAAACCCTTGTGATAGATGTTAGATGAAGAAAAACAAGATCGCCAATGATCAAGTGATATCAGATGATTAAAGTGATTTGGAAATGCTGATAAAGCTTATATAAAAGGAAGTAGAAAAGATTTTATCTTCACCGAATCAGAGAAGCAGTCAAAGAATGTGCACTAGATCAGCATCTACAGAAGAGTCCTGCACCGACATTAGAGAGAGCTTGATGGATTTGATGAAATACATAAACTGCGCACCCGCCAAGTGCCCCAAAACATGCCCTGAAGAGACTCCATGCTGCCCTGAACCATGTCCACCAGCACCCACATGTTGCCCCAAGCCGTGTGAGCAACCAAAACCATGCTGTCCACCAGCACCCAAACCATGTTGCCCACCAGCACCCAAACCATGTTGCCCACCAGCTCCCAAGCCATGCTGCCCACCAGAGCCCAAACCATGCTGTCCACCAGCACCCACTTGCTGCCCCAATCCATGCGAAGAACCCGAACCAGCCTGTCCAGAAGACAATTTCTGCTGCGACTTTCAAGATTGCTTGCCCAAGTTGCTCAACTACCTAAACTGTGAACTCGCCAAGTGCCCTCAACCATGTCCAGAGGTGACCCAATGTTGCCCAGATCCATGCCAACCAGTGGAACCTTGTTGTCCACCAGAACCCACTTGCTGTCCCAAGCCATGCTGCACTCAACAAGTCAAACAAACGAAGCCTTCAACCAACAGACGCTGTTGCTAGATAATTAATCCTGAGGTGACTTATTACCTCAGCACTTACAATATCTCCTTATAAGTCACTACTTATTCACTATCGTTACAGTAAATTACTTATTCATTCCACTCCTTGCCTTCTCTTTTGATGACATTTGTGCTCCGATGATCCGAAAGACTTAAAATAGGCATAATCATCTGGTCTATTTAATACATGCACATCTCTTTTTTGAGCTTTCAAGTTTATATATGTGGAACGCCTGTTAAGTTCATAATTCAAGTACACGCAGAATAAGGTCCTAGAAAACTTCCGATCCACAAGACTGCGGGCAATTCTTCCAAACCCTAGAACTTCTTAATACGTCGAACTTCTTTGTGAAATTCACATAAACAGCTGTGCACTTAGCTCTACTTCATTCCTTATTAAAATCATCTGTTCTCACCTCCTTCGGTCGCTTTGCCAAGACGTTGGTGACACCACTATTCGTTCCCACATTCTGACTTCGTCTCCATTTCGATTGAACGGAGTCTAAAAGAGATGACTTGGAACCAGCAAGCGAGAACCTAGTTCATTTTAACAGTGTTCACTTCCTACTAAGAGAGGCAGAGCATTATGCACTCAAATCTCTTCTACTTGAAAGTTCTGGGGGGATATCGTTGGGCAGTAACATTCAATCACGTCCTCATGCTTCACGTAGTCCAGTTGCCGAATTCTGATTGCTGCAATAACAAAATACTCCTTATATCTAGCACAGCAAGAGGTGGCTTTGATATGAGCAGGCTTTTATTAACCCAATCGATCTCCCCACGTATCAAGCGCAAGGGCAAAAAAGTATTACTAGCCATACTTCATTACGAAGGAGGCGCAATAGGTGCATTGTCAGGCCACGAGAGTCGCCTGCCTCTCAATTGAGAGGCTTCAACTTCTGGAATTGTATGTTTTGTACAAGGAGAGTAAGGAGTACTTATTGCGACAAGCACCCTATCTAAAAATCAGCCGTCACTCTGTTGGTCAAACCCACCATCAGTCCTCCTTCACTTGATCCAAATGAAGCAACGCAATTAATGGTCTTTTGAACAATCCATCTAATCGATGACGCCAGGTGTGTTGCCGCCAAATCTAATCGCTTCGAATGAGTTAAACTCTGATTTGTGGCATATTTGTGACGAGAATTGGCACAAAATTGAGAACTTCTATCCATTTCCTTTGAACTGCATTCATGGGAACGATGTTCATTTCTGCCATTTGTAATGAATTAGAGACTAAAAGCCAGTAGTTTGAAACCTAGCAATTGGTGGGCTTCTGAACAGAACTGAATAGATGTCAGCAACAGCAATGCACTGGAGGGTGCAAAAGCCGCACCCCCACAAAGTAAAAGTCGACAAGGGCCTGTATTTCTCTTCACACAGTGAAGAACCAATGAGCCTAAACTTGGTATCATTTGTTATTCTAGATTGGCCTTACATCTGTGTACAATAGGTCCCAACACAAACAAATCGTTGTCGATAATTAGCTCTGTGTGAGATGTTGCGATACACCAATTTGAATCTATGAGTACAACGGCATCGTTGTTTAAGGATGATATTAGTGAATGAATATGCTAATTAATGGGTTTATCACTTTGTGGAAATGCGATGTACTTTGATTGTCAATTTCAATCACATTTTTGAGCTGGATGACAAATTAATTCAAAGAAGAGGGCAGCAGCACCCTTTTCCAATTTGAAATTTAAGGGAAAATAGGAGCAATCCTGTTTTAATCGAAATTAGTCAAGAAGAAAGTAGAAGTTGGATCACGCAGTGCATTAGTAAAATACGATGATCTGTTTGTGTGATGAACATGCCTCAAGCCGATACTTGCACTACGTTAGCAACACTGCTTAGGCGAAGTGAAATCTCCTTGCGTGTTTATGTGACAGGGTGGAATTGCAGTCCAATTGCAGATATTGAAAGTGTCGCGGAAAAGGGTAAACGCCTGTTGACACTATTCAATTCACCAATCCTTCCCAATGAAATTACTTGGTGATAAGTAGATCTACACGATCTACGATCTAAAAACCACAATCCCAACTAGGAAGGAGGAAACACATGCTCTCGTGGTTTAAGTCAAAATTAACTTCAGTTCAGCTCATACTATGTACAATATAGAGTGATTCGAGTAAATTCGCACAAAAATATGCAAATATTATATTTATCGAATAGAAGCATTCAAGGATTAATCTTAAGTACATTTTCATCGTCGTAATTATGAACAGCAGCTATTATTCGATTTGTAACGATGCGCTGCTTTCCTCCAAGCAAATCGGAATATCTAGAAACGACATTTTAATCGCAAGACTTTTGTTAACTTATCATGAAGACAGGTTATGTCTTTATAAAAAATACTCTCATTAACAATGAATGTTAACCAATGATTTGATTTATGGTGGTAGATTTATGATTTTGGCGTGAAAGCCTCATTTGACTTCAAAGAAGGCTCTTTGTAAGTAAGACAAATACGCACATGATATTGAAATTGGATGAAGAAATGACAAGAGCAATTCTGATCAAGTGATCCCAGATGATTGAAACCAATTGGAAGTGCAAATAAAGCTAGTATAAAAGGAAATAAGCAGGCATTTGCAGCACAGACCATCCAAAGCAGTCTAAGAATGTGCTCTAAGTCAACACCAGCCGAAGAATCCTGCACTGATATTAGAGAGAGCTTGATGGATTTGATGAAATACGTAAACTGCGCACCAGCCAAGTGCCCCCAAACATGCCCTGAAGTGACTCCATGTTGCCCTGAACCATGCCCACCAGCACCCACATGTTGCCCCAAGCCGTGTGAGCAACCCAAACCATGCTGTCCACCAGCACCCAAACCATG